ACAAATTTAACCTTTTTCCCGTTACGTTCGTTAGTTTAGGTTTTCGACTAGGTTAGTTTAACTTACTAGTAAAAAGTAAAAAAAATAAAAAAAAAAAAGACCATAACCTTAACTGAGAAATTCCTCGGATCTATTTTTCAATTCGTTCAAAGTTATAGCTGGCTCAGCTTTCTTTATTCACTGGTTTGGAACTATACAATCGAAATTGGTCTTTTCGTAACCTAAGTTCTTAATACATCATCGAATAAGACCAACTTATAACTTCAACACTTCTCTATGGTTCATTCAATTTGAGTTGCTTCACGAAAATTAAATTTGAATATCAACCGATCTCTTTCTGGAATTAGTGCTATGAGAAATGTCTGGAAGGGAACTCGTGGAGTTTCTGTGCTTAGCTCTAACATTAAGTAAAGATTCAGATCTACCATCATTGGACAAGGGGTTTGAAGGTTGAGAGTTGACATCAGACCACGCCTGTTTACTGTCAATGAGCTTGACCTGAGAAGGATCAGTCACATGATGACGGGATAGGAAGTGTTCCAGGGTGTCCCAACCTCCACCGACACGGACCATCACGTGACGACCTTTCAAGAGCTAAAGTAGATGGACATTTTTTAACTTTCTTCGTGTATACACACACGTTTTCATAGTCTAAGTTGTTCTAACACGTGTTTAGGTATGCACATAATGTTTATATTAACGTCAACGAAAATCAAACTCTGTTTTAGTAAAACGGTAACATACCCGAGATATAACTCTTAACTTCCGTTGTAAAATACAAATTCGGCTGTCTAAACGAGAAAAAGTAGGAAGAATTTCCACACGTTTCACTTTACTGTTTGATTGAGTTTTTCTGCATAGTTGTTTAAATTTTACAAAAACGAAACGTATTAAATACTAAACATTTACACTACCTAAAGCACTATTTTTATATAAGTACATATTCAGAAGTATTACATTCTTTATATTTGTTTCAATACATTCTATTATGAAAAAAAATTCAAACTTACTCGTACAAACACACTTTTCCCAGCAACGCTGTATCGGCCTTCGGATACCTTCTTTATCTGAGCTTTATCTTCTAAAACGTCATCAGCGATTTGCATCACCTAAAATACCATGACATTTTTACGCACGTTACCACTTGGGTAGTTTCTACACCATAATAAATGCTGGAGTAATTACGTATCAAAAAATAACGCTGAAATAATCAATGCTTAAATTGGGGCGGAACGATCAGGAACGGCGTTTCCGCTTTTTGAGGATTCAAGATATTGGCGTTCCGGGTTTTCTGATTAGATTGTCAAAGTAGATCACAAAAAAAATAATAAAAAATCCCAGATAATAGAGATAATAACCACAATAAGAGAAGTCGTTCAACATAGCACTTATAACAACTGTTTGATCGTGAAAATAAACACAAAATTAATTTGATTTTTAAAAATTATAGAACTTTTGAGAATCAGAATCGAAACTTGTTGAAATTAAGTGATATCAAAGTAATAAAAAGTATAAATCCACATTTTCAATTATAAGTCTATATCTATACTTTAAATATCGGAATTTTATGCAAAATATCGAATGAAACACACACACACACACACATATATATATATATACAGTATATGGGACTCTAGGATAATACATACACCTACTGATACGTTCAGAAAAAAAAAAATATATATATATATGGGACACTAGGATAATACATACACCTACTGATACGTTCAGATATATATTTATATATATATATGGGACACTAGGATAATACATACACCTACTGATACGTTCAGGAATATATATATATAGGACACTAGAATAATACATACACCTACTGATACGTTCAGAAATATATATGCAGTAGATATTAACAACATTTAAACAGGTAGTAACATACCAGTGTCAAAGAAAAACATTAAACAACAGTATATATTAACGACATATAAACAGGTAGTAACATAGCAGTGTCAAAGAAAAACATTAAACAACAGTAGATATTAACGACATTTAAAAAATGAGTAACATACCAGTGTCAAAGACCAACATTAAACAACAGTAGATATTAACGACATTTAAACAGGTAGTAACATAAAAGTGTCA